AGATTGAGTAGACCCTCTGTCACTTTCCTAAAACTTCCACAATCACACACTATATGTTGATGGGTTATCTGTGCTCCTTTGGGGTTGCCTACGGTTCCACTTGAGAAACAGATCACTGCAAGATCTTCAGGTGCTGTAGAGTTGGGCTTCAATCTGTTGATTCGTCCCAAGTCCTGCAATGCCTCCATACTCATGACACCCCCCTCCCCCACTTCTTGCCACATTCCACCAGAGTCCATGAGCACTGAGATCTTAAAGCTTGGGACTGACTCCTTCTCTACAACTTCTAATAAGAGTACAGCTTTCTCTGCCTTGTTAATAAAAACACAGCAAGTTCCATTTTGTTGATTATATAAGTGGTCACTTCTGTTCCAAGGTTGGCATAAAGTGCAACCATCACCATGGAATGAATAAGCAAAGCACCTCTGTTCAATAATCACCACTCAGGTCTGTTTTGTGCAAAGATACCCACGAACTGAACGAGGGACACTTTTAAGCCCTTCTCGAGCAGTGCTGAGTGTCTACACATTCCAACAGCTCTGCAATCTCTTTATATGAAAGCCATTCAAAGGGTTGGTCTGCAGGCTGTGCTCCCGCCTTTGTGGCCACCGGGGAGCAAGGAGGCTGCTGTGAGTGTGTGTGCCAGTCCCATTCCCCAAATCTAGGTTTTTGACATTATCTCTAAGGAACAAAAGACAGAGATGAAATACTTCAGATAAAATTAGTCCCACAAATGATATTCTAAAACAAAATTCTGGAAGCTAAAAAATACATGAAAAAGTGGTAACTGCCTCTGTAGACCCAATGTAGCCAAATCCTACACTAGCCATGGGAGGTCTAACCCTGTCTTCACTGGCACAGTCCTCAGAAAATCTAAGAACTGGCAGCACCAGGTTCCTTTAACTATGGAAGTATAGCCAGGGCTAAAACAAAGGGAGAAAATGCCAGATGATCTTACTTCTTACTACCAGACAAATACCTTGAGAGACTGCTTCTTTGAAGATAAAACAGAAGCTGTCAGGACCTGGGCACTCAAGGTACAAATGAAGATTAGGATACTGTACTGAAAAGAGAAAGGTTAAACCAACAAGCATTTCCACTGCTTCTAGGAGGCCTGGTGTTGCAGCGCTGGAAGCATGACTGTTCAAATCACCAAGTACACCACAGGAAAAAGATGGCCAAGCTCCTCCTTTCTAGGCATTTCTAAAGATGTACAGCCTCAGAAACTTGATGGAGGGTTGCAATGAGTACAAACTGGCTTGACAGCAATAAGTCTGGTTTGGGGGTGAGAGTCTGCTTTGGCCACTTTGCACTCAGGACAATGATAGGCAGGCCTTCACCCTAGAGCAAGGGCAGGAGAAACCATCCCTGAGAAATCTTACCAGTCACAGAGAAGAGACATCAGAGGTGTCCCATCAGGTTGGTCGCCTCCCACATTAAGACTCACGTCAACAGGCCACTATAAACTCAAGAGACACCACCCTCCCCATCTCCTCAACCATACAGAAAGAATATTTAAATATGGAAAATGGCAAGTAAGAGGAAAGAAATAAAAAGTATCTTCTACTGGGAAGAAGGCAGCACATTGTCGCTCCCATTTTAACAGTACTCTCTCACTGCCTCCTGCTTCTCACGTGTATGCATCCCTCTTTTCTCTCTCTTCCTATCACCTGAGCTTTATCCCTGGGCAACGCTGCCTATATGATCTTAGATAAATGACTGTTCACAAGATTCTTTTTACAAAGAAATAAAAAAACCCTACTAATACTCAAGATCTCTGATATTAAAATAATTTTATGAAGAATACATGTATTTAGATAATTTTTCCATCTTAAATAAAGTATATTTGAAAGTGTAGATCAAAAGTACAAAGTAAGATCCCAACAACAATAGCAAAGTTCAGCAGGGTAGTTAACAAAGACTGGTAAGGATGTAGAGATTGAACTTGTATTCTCTGCTGGTGGGAATGCAAAACGATGAAACCACTAGGAAAGGGGGTCTGGCGCTTTCTCAAAAAGTTGGAAATAGAAGTACCATTTGGAAAAAAAAAAGAAGTACCATTTGACCTGGCAATTTCACTACTAGGAATATACCCTAAAGAAACCAGAGCGAGGACTCAAACAGATGTATACACATTCATTTTTACTGCTGCATCATTCACAATAGCAAAGAGATGGAAGCAAACCAGGTGCCCATCAACAAAAAAATGTGTAGAAAATCTATGGCACATTTACACAACACTGAAAAACAATGAACTCATAAAACATTATACAGCATGAGTAAGCCTAGAAGACATTATGCTGAGTCAAATATCTCAGTCACAAAAGGACAAAATATCTGTCATAAAAGAGGACAGACATGGGGGGTGTAGGCAAAGAATGGGAGAGAATGGATAGATAATGAACACTACATTAAAACAGATGAGGGGAAGAACTGTCTGAAAGGAATGTATATATAGGCATTATATATATTACAACAATCTGGAACAGAGGGTGCACTGCAGGGTGGGCTGGAGGAGGGGAAAAACAGTGCATGAATTTAAATATAAACAGTAAAAAAAAGCCCAAAGCCAAAATACAAAGTAAGTAAATGTCAGAAGGGTTTAAGAAAGATAAAGTCCAGCAGGTATGAGATTACAAAAAGGTAGGTAAGTGCAAACAAAACTAGAGTTAAATATCTTATGTGACAAATATGTAGCAGGAAGCCAACATTCCATGCCAAATCAGACATTTTAATAAATCATAAGGTACTCTCCCCAGCCCCTCTGACTGCAGTCTCAGAATCTTCTAACTTATGCTGGAGCCAGTCACTACCCATCTTATGGAGTTGGGGGCCAGCCCTACATAGAGCACAAATCCACAAGCCACTGGTGACATGATCGCTCAGAAGTCCTGTTTATACTACCTCAAATTCACTGTTGTCAAATCAGTTCTAATCCCACAGTGACATGCTGCACCAGGTTTTCAAGGCTGTAAATGATGATAGAAAGAGACTGTCCATCTTCTTCCCTCAGAGCCACCGGCAGATTTGATCTGCCAGACACACACAACTTTTATTAGCAGAACAGCTCACTTGAGACTCCACCACCAGAACTAACTAGTCATCTCCAAAAGCATTAAGCAGAGAGGAACTGTTTCTCAAGTATCCAGAAATCCATCAAGAGAAATCTGCTCTATGGTCCTCAACCTCGGGAGGTGGGTCTTTATACCACTCTTCCCTCCCCAGTCTCATCAGGAACCCAGTATTACTAAGGAGAAGCTAGGTTCTAACTCTGGAATGAGGAAGATGATCAAGTCTGAGACGGTCTCTTCCTGAATTTACAGGAATTTTGGCATTTCTTTTTTTTTTTTTTTTAATTTGAATTTTGGCATTTCTAAACCAGTTCTAGTAAAGGACCTACGTGTAAAGTAAAAGAAACCTATTAAGAAAAGAGCAGCTTGCTGGGAGTGGCAGGCTGAGCAATGCCACAGATGTGAGAAGCCGACAAGGATACAATGGGCTTCAAATAGAGGAGGCTAGACGGATGCTCAGCCTCTATGGTGGCCCTTAAAGTCAATCAAGATTTTGGACATTACTGCAAGGTCACTGTGTACTGGTTTCTAATAGTATTGTTATTTTAATTACTCATTAAGTTTATGGGGATGCGACCCTTGCAAATCACTGATTGTCCTCTAAGTGTGTTTTTTTTCCAAGACTTCATTATTCTGACCAGAAATGACACAATCATGGTGTACCAGGGTATGGACACAGTGCATCCAAGCCCAAGATCACGTGCTGTTGCCAAGGAGGAAGATCACATGATTATCTGGTCACCACAATGTTTCTCAGAAGCCAACTCCCTTCCTGTATTTTCACTCCACAGTTCCCTGAGACTCAGTCGGCTCTCAACTGTCACGTAACTCCTCGAACACAAAAAGAAAAGACAATGTGCTATTTTAGAATTCATTTTTCAGGTTATAATTTGAAGTCATTAAAAAAACAAACAAATAAAAAAACACCAACAAGAAAACAAGCACTCCATGGCCTAGTGGTAAAAAGCTGTGTAGCAATCCCAAAGGCATCGAGTTCAAATCCATCAGCTGATCCGTGGGAAAAGGACAGGCAATCTCCTCCCATGTGAGTAACTGCCAATGGAAATCAGCTATGGCTCGATTCCAATTTGACAGCACACAACAAAACAATGAACTGCACGGTTATAAGCGGTAACAATGGAAACCTTCAGTTATTGAGATGAAGGGACACTCATGGAGGACGCTGCCAAATCAAGTACATTAACAGTACCCTAGATTGTGGGGTCCATAGTAGCCTTCAAAGGTGCTAGCACAGGGTAAGTGTGAATGACTGAACAGTGATGTGACAGGACACAGATAAGGCCACTGGGAAGCGGGGTGGCCCAAATGACTGCAGAGTCCACACCCTTCCCTGGTCCAAAGAGTGCATTCACCAAACCTACCCGCTTCCATAGTAGACTCTAGTGCCCTGCGAGCAGCCACAGTAAGGTGGAGTGCAAGGGTACTTTTTGACAATGGTTAAAAGCAGTAAAAAGTTGTTATCAGTTAAAGAAACATAAAATTATTATTGTTTAGCAATTTATAGCTATTTTGCAAATCTGGCAGGGCAGAAGGTGAAAAAAATCCTAAAGGTTCACACTGTGAAGAACTAAATATTTTTATCAGCAGATGGTAAACCTATTTAACACCAGAAAATCAAAAGTATGTAAACATCAACTCACATAAAGTGTTCAGCGCTGAAAGAGCAACTATATTATCATCTTGTCATAAAATTTCTCAGTTTACAAAAAGGATTAAAAGGGGAGACAAAAAATAACTACTTACATGGGAACAAATCTTTAGGAAGAAAGTTTACAGCTGACTTACTGTATTTTTTTATACGGATGCAAGTTTGAAATTAAAATGAAAATAATACATCATTTCCCCTACTTCTAACTGTGTTACAATTACTTCAATAAAAAAAATTCAGGTGAAGAAAAAAATTGTTACTTCACACAGCTATTCTTCCCATCATGTTCTTTCTTCTCAGCCAATCTCAGTGGTTTCTCATCTGGTTTTTGACATAAAACACTAAAAAGAAAAATCAATTTATTAAAGTTTGTAAACCCATATAACCCTAATTCTGAAAAAGATCTACTAATGCTTTAAGCACGAAAATGATTTGACATTACTAGTACTGAACAAGATATAGTAAGCATAAACCTTTCTTCTGCCTTCTTAAAAAAAAAAGTGAAAAAAGTAAAAACTTGCAAAAGAACCTGAAAAAAATGGGCTTCTCTGTTCTGTTCTACTTCCTAGCAGTGCTGACCTGAGACCAGGAGCCGTGTTAACAGGGAGGTTGTGGTTCAGTGCTGCTGAGTCAATCCTGACTCGTCATTTTTATGGGAGCAGACCAGCACGCCCTTCTCCCATGAACTGTGGATGGACTAACACAGCCATCCTAACTGGTGGCTGTGGAGCTATGTGCAGTCAACCTGACTATCTCACAAAGACAAGAGTACAACTGTCTAAAATGAGTTTTCTTGATGGCAATTTTTACAGGAGTAAAATGGCAAGTCATTCTTCCTGCCAAGCCACTGGTGGGTTCAAACCTGTTTTGGCCTTTAGGTTAAACCATTAGGTCATCAGGGCTCCTCTTTACAGGTGATTGGTGGTTGTTATGTGCCATCGAGTAGTTTGTGACTCATAGCGACCCTATGTACAAGAGCCATAAACCCTGCTCTATCTTGTGCCAACCTCACCGTGTCTGACACACCTTACTCCACCACCCCATCACAGAATTGATTCCTCTCATCAAAGGTCTTCCTCTCTTGCGCTGTCCTTCCACTCTCCCAAACATGATGTCCCTCTCCAAGGACCGGTTTCTCCTTGCAACATGCCCCAAAGTAGAGAAACTAAAAGTTCATGGGGTAAACACTCTCCTTCTAGGGATAAAAACCCCACCCAAACAACAGAGGACTCAAGCCCAGAAAACAGGTCTCAGAATCCCCATGCTGCTGCTGTTGTTATGGGCCATTAAATCGCATGGGACCCATAGCGACCCTATCTATGCACAGCAGCTCTGAACCCTGCCCTGTCCCGAGCCAGTCTCACAGACTCCAACACACCGACCCCCCATTACCCCAGTTACTGTATCAATCCATCTCATCTGAGGTCTTCCTCTCTTGCGCTGTCACTCCAATCTTCTACGCACGTTGTTCTTCTCCAAGGACTGATCTCTCCTGGCAGTGCCCAAAGTATGTGAGACAGAGCTTCAAAATCCTTACTTCCAAGGAGAAACTTGGTTTCACCCTAACCAAAAGAGACTTGTATGTTCTTTTAGCGGTCCACGGTATGTTCAGTACTCTTCTCCAGCACAACTTAAAGCATTTACTCTTTTTTCTGTCATCCGTAGTCATCGGGGAAAGGGACGAGACAAGACATTCCCATGTTTATATCCTTTTTTTCTTCCCAGCCCTGCTCCAAGGCCACCTACTAGCCTGGAACTGCCTGCATGTCAACAAGCAGTGCAGTCACGTACAAACCTAACAGCACAAAGCCGGGAGAACCTGGAGAGAAGGACCCTATGGTCCAAAGACTGCAGAGTAGGAGGGTACTATTCTTATTTCTTTCTCTCACTTATCTTACACCTTTGCTTCCGAAGTGGCCCCAATCACTTGGGCAAGGCACTAAGAGAAAACCCCTCCTTCTGGCTTGACTAAGAGCTCCTGAATTTGCTGCAAATGTTTTTGTTGGTTTTTTTAAAAATATTTTTAAATTTTCTTATTTTATACTAGTTTGCTTACAAAGTTTGTATACACTGTTCTTCATACTGGATCTTTCACATTTCCTTTACCCTCCCCTCATACGCAACAAACTGTACAACCTTATGATACCCCCTTCGCCATCCTCACCCCCTGCTCCTACTTCCCCCCTTTGGAGCTTCATATTTATTTTACTAGTTATCTGTTTCTACAATAATTGTTTTTAGTTCACTTAGGATCATGATCTTCAGTCCCTCCCAAGTTAGGTACTAATTTTCAAAATTATTGTTCCTGCATGCTGCATACTACTCCTTTGTGACCGTAATTTGACTGTAGTTGAACATCTAGTAGTTTCCATAATTCTGTGATGGTGAATAATGCTATGAACACTGGTGTACAAATCTCTGCGTCTCAGTTCTCATTTTCTCAGGGTATATGCCAAGCTCTACTGTACATAGGGTTTTCGGGCTACAGTCTTCGCAATTACGTGCTATGCATCAGAGAGTTGGACAGTGACTAGGGTAGATAGAAAGAGAACTGATGCCTTTGAGTTGTGGTGCTGGAGAAGAGTGTTGAATATACCATGGACTGCTAGGAGAACAAACAGGTTTGTCCTGGAGAGGGTGAAGCCAGAATGTTCCATGAAGTCAAGGATTCTGAGGCTTTGTCTGACATATTCTGGGCATGTTGCAAGGAGGGAATGGTCCTTGGATAAGGACATCATGTTTGGCAGAGTGGAGGGGCGGTGAAGGAGAGGAGGACCTTTGATGAGATGGATCGATTCTGTGACTGGAGAGGTGGGAATAAGTGCGTCTGAGATAGCTAGGTTGGCACAGGATAGAAGAGCGTATAGAGCTCTTGTACATAGGGTCACTAATGAGTAGCAAGTGACTCGATGGCACATAACAACAACAACAAACAACATATGCCAAGCAGTGGAACAGCTGGGTCTTATAGAATTTCTATGTTCAGCTTTTTGAAGAAACACCAAACTGCCTTCCAAAGTGGTTCTATCATGTTAAAATCTTATGAACAGTGTATAAGCATTCCTGTCTCTCCATATCTTCCCCAACATTTATTACGTGCAATCCTGTTAAACTTTGCCACTGTTACTGGAGTGAAATGGTATCTCATTGTGGTTTTAATTTGCATCTCTCTTATTGTCTGATTTTGAACATTTCTTCATTTGTCTGTTAGCAATCTGAGTATCTTCCTCTGTGAATGGTCTTTTCATGTCTTTTGTCCATTTTGTAACTGGGTTATCAGTCTTTTTCTTGTGGAGGCCCAGTAAGATTCTTCTGTTATGAGACCTTTGAGATTGTATTGCCAAATGTTTGTTCACAGTTAGTATATTTTCTTATCACCCTGTTGGAAAAAGATTTTAATGCATACAGGGATTTAATCTTTTAGAAGGCCCCACTCATCAATTTTATCCTCTCCTAGTTGTATTATTTCTGACTGTATTTGTCAGCCTACTTATACTAGGAGAAAGGCTTTCTAATCTTGGTCCTACTTTGTCTTTTATGATCTTTACAGTTTGGGATTTAACCCTAGGTCTCTGATCCACCTCGAGTTGATTTTTGTATATGGTAAGAGGTGTGCACCCAATATGTTTCATTACACGGAATTTGACTATTATATGCCTTGATGTTTTTCTTTTTGGGTCTAGTTGGTGTTCCCTGTTCTTCATAATACCTGGGAAGTTTTCTTCTAATACTACTTCTACAATTTTCTCAGTAAACTTCCCCATCCCTCTAGTGTTCTAGAATTGCAATCATATGCATCTTCTCTTTTTTGTCACCCCACATGATTCTAATATTTTCATCACGTCTCATCTCTGATTTTTCTTCTAGTATATTGCCATTGAGGTTCCTGTCCACTGACTCTCTGTTCCATCTCTTCTGTTCTTTTTGTCCCTCTAGCATTTTGGATACTTCTGCTATTTTGGATTGCATTTTCATGCTTTTGTTATTTCTAGTACTGTGCTGGCTGTTGCTTCTCTGTCTTGTGATGATTTTTTAAGTTCTCATGCCTCTTCCTCTATACTTTTAATGCTTTATGTTTTGCATTTTCTTCCACAGTAGTTCAAGTTGCTCCTCATCAATGTATTTCTTCTGGATCCCTGTCTCTAGGTCAGTCTCTGAATGGTTTCCATTGTTTCTTCTATTATTTACACATTATTCTATAGCTGTTCAAGTAATTCAACATCAACATATTTCTTCTAATTCTCTGTATCTGGGGTATTCACTGGGTCTGCTTTTTTAGGAGAAGAGTTATTTTGTTTTTTCATAGTGACTAAGGTAGCCTGCTGCTTTCTTAACATTATGTGAATCTTTTCTCAATATATGTTAGGCTGTTTTAACTACATATTGTCGCGCGGTGTGGTGAGGTTCTGTGAAGGACCTGTATATTGGTGTTCCTCTCTTGTGAACAAGTCAACCCAGAGCAGGATGACTATTGTCCTCTGGAAACCGTGGCTGTTCCACACCTCTTTCCTTTGCACTTAAGAAATTCCCAGCTCCCCATGTGTTATAAACAGCAGAGTTCATGTGCAAGGTACCTGAACGGTAGAACCCACATATTTCTTTAGGGAGCTTTATAGTTTCTTGCTTTATTTTTAGGTCCTTGAGCCATCTTGAGTTAGTGTATGATGTGAGACATGGCTCTTGCTTGGATTTTTTCACCAACTGTTATTGAGTTTTCCCAGTATCATTTTGATAAAAGAGGTTGTGTTCTCCCCATTCAATGGATTTTATCTGTCAAAGACCTCCTGTCCTTAGGTGGGTGGTTTTAATTTTTTGTTTCCAATTCTATTCCATTGGTCTATGTTTCATCCTGTACCAGTGCCAAGTTGCTCTGACTGCTGTGGCTTTGTAATACATTTCAGATCAGAAGTAAAAGCACCTTATTTGGTTTTTCAATAGAACTTTACTTCTCTTGCCTCCATTTTTTAAAAAATTAAAATCTTTTCCTATAATTAACCATACAGAATATTGTATAAAAAAGTATTACACTTAAGTCTATGGTCCAAAATCAAATTTTCAAATCATACCTTGGTGCTGGTGTATCTTGAGCAGCATAAATAGTTATGCCTCTTTTTGATGGCCAATATACAGATGATTCAGAATGCTGTTGGGGGAAAAAACATTTTTTAGTTTATATGGTAGTAAAATCTGGGTTTTTTTCTATTTTAATAGTTTATTCATTAAATATTTTATCAGTACACATGGAGAGCTTCTCTAGAGCAAATGGAATTTTCTAAAAAACAAAATACAGTTTTTTCATGGGTAAGTGTAGGATACACTTATTTAAAGTTCATTTTGTTAATACATATAATGTATCTGCAAATAGATTTTCAGGATATGGATAATATATCTGGAAACGAGCAGAAGTATTATTACTCTCCAAGTTCAAAGATGCTGTTTTGGGAACTCACGCTCTCAGTGTGAGTCTGCCTGATGACAGACACTGATAATGATGGCATGGCAGCACTGTTTTTCATGCTTTCTGTAGCTCATTAAAGAACCTGCATACTTGGTTAAACAACTTTTACCTACTTGAGAGAGTTTTGATTTTTTTTTTTATTTCCCTTAAGTCTTTCTCCATGACTCCTGTTTTAAGACATCCTTGGTAAGCTCTATTGGCAGTCTGTATGTCCAGAGTGTAGGAAGTTGTGTCCTTTTTTTTTTAAACATCTGTATTCTTATGGAACCGAAATATCAGAGAATTCTTTTTATAAACCACCAGTATCAGTTGCTTTTATGCACATACAGATAAGGAGAAACAAAGAAATGAAAAGTCACTTGATGCCAATTAAACCACCAGACCAGGCAGCAGCTGGCATCTTACAATCTCTAGAAAATGGCCTACAGTTACAATCACCTGTCAAAAGGACACGAGGGGCAAGTTACACTTGAACCTAACTATAAGATGTCCCAGAGTAACAGATTTTCACACCTTTGCTAAAATGAAAAAAAAACAAGTCTTTTTGAAGGAACTATTCTACTGTCTTAACCAAAGTTTAGCTGGAGTTACTTTGTTGTCTTCTCAACATAGGGCAAGGAAGGACTATTCTAAAAAGAAAATTTATTCCTAGATTTTCATGAAGCTCTATCTCTGACAAAATCTCAGAAACGTATGTTTAATATATAATTTAAAAACACAACCTTACTCATGTCTTTCAAAGAGATGTACTGCTGTTTCTCTCTAGTTCTCTTGTTAGGTGACTCTGTTAATGAATCCAGACTGCATTTTACAGCTTGATCTACAAATAAAAAATAGTATAAAAGTTGCCTTGATGAAGTGCCATAAACACATAACAACTGGATGAAAAGGAATATAACAGAAGCAAGCAACTTGATGAAATCTCAATATGTGAAATTAATTATTAGGGAATATGCTTTTCTATTATTTACTTTCATGTGCCAATGAGATGATTTGAACTTACGATGACCCTACAGAATAAACCTGAACTGTCCCAAGGCATCCTAGCGGGCCACCCAGTGGTGCAGTGGTCAGGTACTTAGGTGAGAAGCAAAAGGTCAGAGTCTGAATCCCCCATTCCTCCAAGAGAGGAAGTAGACATTGGAAATGCTGGGGCGCAGCTCTGCCCTCTAAGGCCACAAACGATTAGCACCAACTGGACAGCAGTGGGTCACCCTTCCAGCAGCAAATCATCAACCTCTGAGTTAGCTGCTGAATGCGTGATCACTCATCTACCAGGACTCATTAAAACTTAACTAGAAGGGATTGTCATTTTTTAAAAAAACACTTTTACTGTTAAAAACTGTTGTAGAGTATCCTTTACTGGCTTACTAAGAATTGAACATAATTTGTAAACTTTGGTAGATTATTTTCAAAAAAATTGGTCACCATAGCATCTCCTATTATAAGCTCTTCTTATAAAATTCTACTTTTTCAGAGACAGGATCTGTATTCATTTTTTCATGAATTTGTGTAGCTTTATGAAAAGCAGTAAAAGTGATCTACGTGACTTCTAAAGCTAGATCAGAGTATGTTGCAAAATTATGGACTGCTCTCTTAAAGGGCTGCTTCTTTTTGATATCCAGACACTCTATTGATAAGAAGCCTACTTTGGACATGTTGCAAGGAAAGACCAGTCGTTGGAGAAGGACGTCATGCATGTGAGGGTAGAGGGACAGTGCAGGAGAGGAAGACCCTCTATGAGGTGGATTGATACAGTGACTAGGGTAATATGGGAATGTGTGTATCAGAGACAGTGAGATTGGCACAGGATAGAGCAAGGTTTAGGATTGTTATACATAGGGTCACTACGAGTTGCAGGTGACTTGATAGCACATAACAACAATATATATTATATGGCAGTAGATGGTTCATCTTTATCTTTCTCTCTCTGAGTAGTTGATGGTTCTGAACCTAATTTCTTTGGGTTAGAAGAGCAACTTCTTACTCATGAAGGCACCTGAGCTCTCAAATAATGTTGTCATTAATCATGCTATAATTCATAGTAGATTCTATGAAATAGTAATGCTGTTACTAGTAATATAATCTGAGAAATAAAAATTTTAAGCAATTTACAAAAAAAAATAATAAAAGAAGCCTAAGAGCTTATATGGAACAACCATGCAAAGGTAAGGTGGTCCAGATGACAGCCCCCACTGAGATCACTGCCAAAAATCAGCATCAAAAGCTAGATATATGACTAACGGACCCTTCAGAAGAACACAGCTGTCAAATTACCAGCAGTCTTCAAGTCTCACCAGCTCAGACCTCAAACACTGTGGAACAGAAACAAAACCTTCCTGACGTGTTCATTCTAAATATATGATGAGAGAATCCAGAAGCATTAAAATATTTTTACTGTTTTAAAAGTAGGGGAATGTGGTTACACAACAATGGTGAACAGATTATCATTTACCAACATAGTCTCAACAATGGCTCAGGATCATAATTGTCAGTCTCACTTCCAGTTATAAAGTAAATGAAGTATGTGAAGACAAGTTTCATTTTAGGAACACAGGAGGTGCCAAAATCCTATACCAGAATATTTCAAGTTGAAGGAGTTGAACTGCCAACCCAAAGAAACAGTTCAAATCCTCAGAAGAAAGAGGAACAACTTCCTCTCATGTGACATACTGTTTTTTTCTTCCTCTTCTCTGGCACCTCCTTATTTGTTGGTATGTTGTGATCTATTTTGTTAAAGAGAGCTGTATGGACTCCCTACCCCCAATGCCTCTGTGTTAAACAGCAGGGGCCCACACTCCTCCATCTCAGTCACTGAGAAAATCTGCTGTCAAAGACCTCTTCAAGGTGTTAAGGAGTAAAGATGTCAGTTTAAAGGTTAAGGTGCAGGGGGTGAAGGTAGGAACAGAGGGGTGAAGATGGGTAAGGGGGGAATCATAATTTGATGGGTGAAGGGTGGGTGGGTCAAGGAAATAGGAAAAATCCTGTGAGGATCTGGAAAGATAGAACAATGGTGTACATAGCTCAATGATGATTAATTTTATAAAACATAATTAATGGGAATGATTGTATGGAACACAATGTGAACGAAAGAGTGTGAAACACAATGTGAACGAAAGAGTGTGAAACACAATGTATATTAACTTTGTAAGCAAATCACTATAAAGTTTTTTAAATTAAAAATCCAAACAAACAAAAGACTAAGGTGTACCTGATTCAAGCCATGATCTTTTCAATTACTTCCTATGCATCCGAAAATCAGATAATGAATAAAGATGACAAGAAGAAACGATGCTTTTGAGTTGCAGTGTTGGAGAAGAGCACTGAATTGTCAAAAGAATAAACAAGTATGTCGCAGAGAAAGTGAAAACCAAGGTGTTCCTTAAAGGCAAGGATGGTGAAATGTCATCTCACATACTTTGGACGTGCTGTTTAGGAGAGATTTATTTGTGTTTGGAAAAGAGATCTTGCTTGGAAAAGTAAAGGATCAGAGAAAGAGGGGAAGACCTCCAACAAGATGGACTGACAAAACCACATAACAATGGGCTTGAGCAAATTAGATATCCTGAGGATCAAGTAGACTAGGGCAAGGTGTAGATCTCTTGTTTAGAGGGTCAAAATGAGTCACAGTCAATTTGACAACAACACAGTATAATCTATTTTAGGTATATTAAAAAAATTAACCTTTTGTAAAACTGAGTGAATATTAGTTATTTAAAAACTAAGAAACAAGGGAGCTCTGGTAACCTAGTGGCAAAAAGTTGTGTTGCAATCCCAAAGGTACATGGTTCAAATCCACCAGCTGCTCTGCTGGAGAAGAAGGGGCAATCTCCTCCTGTGTCAGTAGGATCCAATTTGATGGTACACAACAAGAGAAAAAAAACCACAACCAATTCTATAAAACAAAGAGAAAGAACCAATTTTGGAGGATGAACAAAGATGAGGAGCTAGAAAAAGGTGAACAAACTGAGGGTGTAGGGAGGATGGGGGAAACAAGGAGGCTGAAGCTATATAAAGCATTATATGAAGTAACGTCAAGGGGGAAAATGCCACTCTCCAGTCACTGGAGTCTTAAAAGCTTCCAAGTGATCATTTAAGGTGCAGTTACTGGTCTCTTCCTGTCCAGGAAAAAAGGTGAAAAGAAACCCCTCAAAAAAGAAAAAGAAACAGTCCAAAGTACTAAGAGGCCACATGAACCTCACTCCCTATGACCCTGAGACCAGAAGCTCTAGAATGGTACTCCCCCACCAGCGCTGACTGCTTGGAACGCAACCACAAGAGGCGGTGCTAGACAAAGGTGAAGAGAAATATAGACCAAACTCAAAGTTATAAAAATGAGCAGGCTTATTAGTCTGATGGACTAGTAGAACATCAAGACAGCCTTTCACTAGTGGCAACCATTTCAGAAATGGCTTGCCTCCAGATACTCTATGAACTTGGAGAAACAATGAAAGTTATAAAAGTGTTCCGGTCTTCCATTCACAGGGTCGCTATGAGTCATCTACGACTTAACAACAACCACCACCACCACCACCACCCTTCAAACCTGGAACTGAATTCATCCTCTGGGGCTCAACTTTCGGCCTAGCAATCGAGAGGCCTGTAATGTGATCACCACCAGGGTGTAGTCACTCCTAAAATCATCAACCACACCAGGTCACAAGAGCAGCAGAGTCCAGGAATAAAGCTCAGAAAGGAGGAAGAGACACATAGAAGGAGAAAGGAAAAAAGAAAAGGGAAAGTGCTGCTACACTGTAGGGAGTGTTAGCAATTCCACCAAACATAAAACTCTATCAATTGTTGAGTGAAAAGGCAATATTCTCTGTAAACATTCACTCAAATAATAATAAAAAAATTAAGAAAGACACAGCATTGTTCACTAAATGGAGGCTCACTGAAGAAATGGCTGATTTGAGGGTTGCATACAGAAATCCATACTAATGCAAAATGAAGGAACAAATAAAAAGGAATGAGTTATTCACACAGTTTCATGGTAACTCTACAAAATATTCACTACAACGGACAAAAAGATTAACGTTCAGCGGAGACATCTGGCAGGCACTACCTTAATCAAATAATCACATGACTAATGGTTATTTTCAATGGGACAAACCAAAATTATGTGCCATCTGAAAGGATGAAATGAGAACTCTTCTGTGATATTCCTGCCAAAGATGCATAGCATGGACTTCATTATGAGAAAAACACCAAGCTCAAACTGAAGGACAGTCCACAAATGTAAATCACTATTCTATGATCTGAAAAAGTACCAAGGGCATCAAAGTCAAGGAGACAAATTACTCTGGAGTAACTATGAATAAGACTAAAGATATAGAACACCTAGATGCTACACATACTGTTGACAATCCTTTTAAGAATCACTTTGCTATAAAAGAATTACTGAGACAACTGGTAAAATTGGAAGAGTGTGTGAGAGGGTTGTAATGTACTGATGTTCCACATTTGATGGTTGTATGGTGGATACTCTTTAAATTGTCCTTGATTCCTTGGTTCTAAGAAAAACCAACCATTTATTAGCCAATGTTCAGGAATCTGAACAAGAGTGAAGAAAACTACAGGGAGGGAAACAAGGTGAGGGACTGAAAAAAAACCCACACACAACAAAACAACAAACCATCACACCAAAAACTGAAGACAAAAACATTTAGAACTGTTCTTCACATGCTTTGCTTGTGACTCTTCCAATTTTTATGTTAAAGCTATCTACAATAAATGTCTTTGTACTTTAAATATATAATATCATGTTTTAGTAATATCTTTAAACATAAACATATAACTTTGTGTAAAAAGAAATGTAAAAGTTTTTCTTGATCTCAATGGAATTTCAAGTTCTAGGGCCTTAAAACGTATCAAAGTATCAAAAATCCATTGCCATCAAGTCAATCCCAACTCATAGTAGGATGAAGTATCAAATGCAGAGCGAGAGTTTCTGTGTCTATGTGGGAAGAACTCTTCACAACAATTTACAGTGCAGTAAGATACCTGTAAGACAGACACTTGACAGGAGATATGTGCTGTGAGACTATACTCACTTTTTATCCCCTGAGTATCTTTTCCTTGCAAGAACATTGGCCAAAGAGTAAGTGCAGGATTGAGTTTACTGCAGAAGGATGCTGACTTTACATTCCTCATATTCAATTTTGGTTTCTCTAAAGAATTAAGGATTTTATTCTCCACGGGTGACACATAACGTGCGAAATTCTTTGCAACTAGATCATCATTAACACAAACCTGTAAAATTTCAAACATTTCATGAATATAATAAATACAATCAAATAGGTCTTCAAAAATTATTCCAAACTAAAGTCCAAATTTTTATCTTCGGAAAAATCATTTGCTAGGACATAATCTGACAGAAACAAGTCTTTGGACTTCTTATCTGGCAGTGATATATCAAACCACTCTGACCAGTCCTCCTGGTGGGAATAATAAAAATCTGTCCTTGAAGAAACATCTTAAAAGATCTTGTCAGACAAACATCTGGTGGCAAGACAAAGATAAAACATAAACCATAATAAGAATAAATCAGATTTTGTAAAAAATAAAAATTTCTTGCATTTCAAAAGATACTTTTAAGCAAATGAAAAGGCAATAAACAAACGGAGGGAAATATATCTAATAATGAAATTCTTCTAGAAAACATGAAGAATTCATAAAACTACTATTTAAAAAATTACACAATTTTAAAAATAGGCATAATATCTATCAAAGCAGACAGATATACAGATTGCAAACAAGCAAATGAAAATATATTCGAAATCATTTTAAGGAAATAAAAACTTAAACCACAATGAAATACACTGCACACTTATCATAATGATTAAAATGGAAAAAGAATGACAAGTGTTACTTCTAGTGAAAAATTCATATTCGCTTACACTGTTGGACTTAAAAATGACCAACAGCTTTGAAAATTGGCAGTTTCTTAACAGCTTCACTCCTACATATTTATCCAAGAGAAAAATTCATATATGCTTACATGAAGACTTCATATGCTTGTACACAAATTTTCATAGCAGCTTTACTTGCAATAATCCCAAAAATGATAATTCAAATGCAAATAGATACGCAAAATGTAGTTTATTTATTCAACGGGAAAGTACATAAAAAGAATGATTCATAGATATGTGCAACCCAACAGCTATCTCTTTAAGTTAGCTGATTAAAAGAAATCAGATTAAAAGAGTACATGTGTAGGAACATGTGCTGTCCTGGAGCTGGAAAAGAGCTGCTGACTTTTAACTTCATTTCCTAGTAATGTGATCTCATACATCCATTTCAAGTTCTGTCCTGCCCTCCTTACATTTATCATCTTGAATTAAGATGATGTTTCCATTAATATACAACCAGGCACAGAAAGAAAGAGGCTTATTCTTGGAAAGCAAAAGAAAAGTCATCAGTAGATCTGCAGAAAATCTGTTTAAAAGATGTTTTACAAGACAGGTTCTAGAGCCAATATTTTACTTCTTTTACCAAGGTGGACAGTGTTTCTGTTAGGTGTTGTCAAGTAAGTCCCAACGTACAGTAATTCTATGTGCAACAGAATGAAACCCTGCCCAATTCCATGCCATCCTCATTATCGCTGGTGTGCTTAGGCCTATGTTGTTGTTGATTGCCTTCAAGTCAAGCATGACTCTAGTGACCCTATGTACAAAAGGTCTGAAGCCCCTCTACAACTACTGACATTTACTAAAGTTCATAGAGTTTCTGGAGGCATGCTATTTAGGAAGTGGATGTCACTCCTGCTTTCAGCTGTCAGGAAATCAGGAGATGGATTGCATTGGGAGAAAGATGTTACCTGATGAAGGAGATTCTAGAGAGTTCTCAGATCCTATCTTGTACGACTTCGTGGGTTCCAGACACTGTGGGTGATGAGGCCACCCAATTTTAACCCCAGACCCCAAAGCAGGTAGAAGACTGAAGATATCCTTTCCCAAAAGATGAGGTTAAGGTAGCCGACACACTTCTGGGTGAAAGGTGTTACCTGATCAAGGAGATTATAGAGAGCTCGCAGATCCTATCTTGTGTGACTCTGCGGGTTTCTGACACTGTGTATGAGGAGGCCACCCAATCCCTACAGTCAGATGAAAAGCAACCAAAATTTGGGGAAAGTGGTAGCTGCTGTTAGGTGTCATTAAGCGGAGTATGATTCAGTGAGCCTATGAAGAACATACCTGAATTCTGTCTTATCCTGTGCCATCTTCAAAATCTCTGATGATACAAAAATGGAGTAACATCTCTACAGTCTATGGGTTATGAACTTGACACATTTCTAACTGTATCTTTAGAAATTTAATTACAGGTCAGTGCTCCACATGGTCACAGTAAAACATAATAGACCAAGTTGGTGAAAAATACGAGACTAAACTAAAAAACCCTGTAAGCAGTAAGGCTTATTGGGCTGATGGAAGCTGGTGATCCCTCAGACTACAAGCCATGGTCATCCTTCAAATCTGAAACAAAACACATGCCGTGGTCAACTTTCAGGCAAACAACAGACAGGGCTATAAGGCGAACTGCAGCAATTGGCTCAAGAGTGTCTCAGAGTGTGAGGATGACACAGGATAGGACAGGACAGAGTTCAGATCTGTTGTTCATAGGGTTGCTAGGAGTCATATGCAACTCAATGGCACCTAATAACAATAAAACACATGATAAGTAACACCAGTGAGATACTTAGTCCTTAGAATAATATTAAATCAAGAGGGTAGCATTTGCTCAGGGAGAGAATTCAGTAAGCAGGAAGTGGTAGGAAAGACAGACATGGAAATGAGAAAGGAGGAACTACCAGAAATACAAGCCAGGTTTAGACGACACTGTGCCATTAGGGATAACAATGCTGATGTCAAGATGGTACAGAAGCAGAGAGTACCAAAGAATGTCTATTTGCATTTTATCAACTACCCAAAGGCATCTGACTGGATCAAAACAAATTGTGGCTAACACTGAGAAGATCGGGAATTCCAGGATACTTCATTTGTGTTCGTGCAAAATCTGTTAACTGGACTAAAAAGCTGTTCTTGGAACAGAGCAAGGAAATTGTATGGTTAAAACTATATGGTTAAAAAGAAAATAAATTAGTGTTGTCAGGGATGTATCCTTTCTCCTATCTTTTCAATCCACATTCAGAACAACGGATCATTTAAGAGGCTGGACTTTATGAAGAAGAATGGAATCAGAATGGGAGGAGACACATCAGAAACATGTGTTATGAAGATGACACAACCTTGCTTGCCAAAACTGAGGAGGCCATAAGAGTTTGTTGCAGAAAGTGAGTAACTGCAGTCTTCAATATGGATTACATCTCAACATCAAGAAAACAAAGATCCTCATCACAAGGCCAACTGGCAGTACCAATATGGAGAAAAGATTGTGGTTGTTAACAATTTCACCCTGTTTAGATCCACAATAACATTCTTGGCGCCAGCAGTCAGGAAATCAAAAGACAAGATGCTCTGAGAAAAGTCTGCTGCTTTTTTTCAAGGACCTCTCCACTAAAGAGCAACGATGTCAGTATAGAGACTAAGGTGACCTACTCCAGGCCATTCAATTGCTTGCCATGTATCTGAGAGCTGGGTAAAGAATCAAGATCACAGAAGAAGAACCAAAGCCTTTGTCTTGTGCTGGAGAAGTGTACTGAACATAGTATACTGCCGATTGCCAAGAGAACAAACAAGTCTTTCTTGGAAAGGGTGAAACCAGATTTCTCTTCGGAGGCAAGGATTTTCAAGCTCCACTTCACATACTGGGCATATTGTCAGGAGGGAGCAGTCCTTGGAAAAGAACATCATACTCAGAAGAACAGAGCATCAGTGTAGGGGAGGATGATACAAGATGAGATGGACTGACACAGTGACTGTCAGACATGGTGAGGTTGGCTCAGGATAAGACACAGTTTAGAGCCATTATTCATAGGGTCACTATGAGTCATAGTCAACTTGACGGCACAAAACAAAAACAATAAAATGTATGTGGCTTAGTCTTTCTTTGAAAGACTAAGAAAATATCTATGCTCTTTCATGCTCTTTTTTCTATTAATATTCTTTCAGTATTTTAAATATTTTATCTGTATCTCATACTATAAGCAAAAATTAACTCAAGAAGGATCAAGGCTTAAAATTTTAAACTATAAAGACCATCAAATAAAAAACTGGAGCAAACTTGAGAGTTGTGCTATAAACAGCCTATCAAATATAATTGAAAATGAGGATAAATTGAAGGGTTTGGACCCATAAAAATTAAATCCTTGCATGCATCCTAACATTTCTTTAAAGAAATAAAAAGAGAAACTACAACTAGAAAAATATTGAACAACGACAAATCAAACAAGTTTATCATAATTTACAGAATACTCCCAACACCTCAACAAGACAAATAACTCAATTACAAGATGGGCAGAAGTTTTGAAAGACACTTCACCAAAGACATTCAAACGGAAATAAACCCATGAAGAAATGCTTATTATTAGCTGTGAGAGAGATGCAAGTTAAAACAAAGTATCTTTTTACCCTGTCAATAAATAAATAAAGTTCAACACAACAACAAACAACAAATTCTGGCAAGGGTGGAGGGACGAGAACCCTCACATACCACTTTAGGAATAGAAATTGGTGCAACAATTATACAAAGTAGTGTGGTACTTCCTTAGAAAGCTGGAACAGAAATACCTTAATGATCTAGAAATATTACTACTAAGTATGTATGCCAATTGAGTGGAGTCCGAAACAATTCAAGATCAACAAATGGCTAAAGAAACTGTTGTACATTCGCCTAAAAGAGCACCATGGGACATTTAAAAAAAATATCAAGAATCAATGAAATATTACACAACATGGATGACTTATACGAAGTAAAATTCGCCAGTCAGAAAAACAATGATGTTATTTTTTTAAATTTTTTAAAAACAATGATGTTATAAAACCAGTTTTATAAAAAACTAAAGAATCAATCTTGGAAGGACAAGAGGGATCCAGTTAAGTACAACTCATAGTGACCGTATGAGTAACTGATCTGTCTCCTGTCCTATCCTGTGCCATCCTCATCACCTCTGACATACTTCAGTCCGGTGCTGCAGTCACTACATCAGTCCATCTTGTTGAGGGTCTTCTTCTTCTCTGACCTTCCATCTTTCTAGTACTAATTTTCCTCTTTTTCACTGACGAAAGAATACCCTCTTCTAGCAACATGCCCAAAGGATGTGAGACGAAGTTTTGCCATCCGTGCCTCTAAAA